CGAGAGCAAATTTTGTTACATAGATGGGCCTTAGCAGATTTGGGCCATTATTTTTGGCCTTTGTTTAGTTTAATGATCTAATACAACCCAATTAGCGTACGACACGTGGTAAATCCACGTAAGAACCAACGACGTCGCGAAAGTTCCAACGAAAACGCACGAGGCTTAAGGGCTAATATAAAACCTGGCCTTGATTAATCGATTAAATCGGTGGAGATTGTTGACGAAGAAGAAGCCAGAATAATTCTACTGCAATGGCATATGTCGAAGGAGGTACGAGATCTGTCTGATTCATTTCGGTTTTGCTTGATTTCGTTTTCGTTGTCAATATCACAAGTTTCAATCCTATTCTTTTCTCTTTTCCTCGAGATCGGATTCTGGATTATAAGCTCTTGCGATGCATTTATGGTGTTGTTTGATTTTGTCCTCTTTCGATATCTATTGAATTTGCATTATATACGTCCGAGTTTCGATCTTTAGGCTATCTTTGTACCTTTCTTTGGATTGATCATGAATGTCTGAATAACCTTAATTTTGAGATTGTACATATTTTAGAAGACGAATTTGAATAGAAAGGTCGCTGAATAGTAGACATATCTAGACATGAATATCTAAGTTGTTCTTCTCAGATAGCGAATGTGCAGATTCTGGTTTCTATAATCGTTAAGCTGTCAATTCTTTGTCTAGAAACTTAGCGGAATCAAGATCATGTTAATTGGTTTGTGAATCATACAAGTTCTGTCTCCGAGAGTAGATTTGTTATAATCATAGCTTACTATCTTAAAGGGATTGTAGGAGCTTCAAGAAGAGAAGAGAAACACTGGATAAAAAAAATACTCTAAGCTTCTGTTCTTGCATCATATAAGGATCATATAGATCTCTTTTTCGTTATTACAATAAATAGCTTGAGGTTGTATACTGAGAACACAGATGAGTAGTGCAAATATTAGTTGTATATCTTACATTCACAAACTTCTGAACATGTACCAGGTGTTGTTAAAGCAAAGCGATCCATATGGAGACTAAGGACGATCAAAGATTTCTTCTGGTCCATCATCAGTCTGATTCAAGTCTTCTTTATAACCATGTTCTCAGTAAGATTCTGTCTTCACTTCTTGGGTTACTTTCCATAAGCTGTCACAAGCTATGACTAACCAGAGATCGAAACATTGTTCAGATGGAGAAGTCAGATGCTTACAGGAAAGGTTTGGGAGCTAGCAAGAA